CTGTTGGACCATTTCATAGCTCAACCAATGTATTATTCAAGTACCTGTTGAAAATCTAGTGAGTATGAGGTAGAAACCCAATTTTTTTGTTGTATTACTCTTATTAGTAGTAATTTGAATTTTATTTTATGTGGCTATTGAAAAAAAAAAAGCTTGCCTTTCCTCTTTTCAGAATGGCCTGTTGATAACCCTTTAATAATTTTTCACTTGAGGAATAGTTCTTCTTATATGTTGGGGAAAACCTTCATATCTTGGCTATCAGACCTTATTAAAGAACTTTACCATAAAGACTTTTCCTAGGTAACCATTTTTGTTTGTGCAAAAACTTCAATTTTTCAATTCAATTAAATTTTTATAATCAGAAATGTCCATTTTATCTCCTTGATCCTCTATACCTTGTTTCACTAATAGCTCTCCACCTATGCACACATGTAGAAAATATCTCCTTCCATACTCCTCTATTTAGTGTATGACCTTTTATATCAAAGTTACTTACATATCCATTTAGAGTTTATTATGGTATATGGAGAGATGTTGATCTAAACCTAATTTCATCCAGACTATTTTCTTGTTTTCCTAGTATTTTTTTGTCAAATAGTAAGTCCTTAAACCAGTAGTGAGGGCTCTTGTGTTTATTGTGTTCAACTTTTCTAGTTTTTAACGAGTACAAATAAATGTGACAGTTGCTAATTTTAAGTATACCATGAAATCTGTTACTGTTAGGCTTCCTTCCTTACCAATTTTTTTTTTCATTATTTCCCTGGAGATTCTTGAGTTTTTTGTTACTCCAAATTATTGTTATTTTATCTAGTTCAATAAAGCAAACCTTTGGTTCATTTTGTCAATATGGCATTGAATATGTAAGTTAATTTAGGTGGTATTGGCATTTTTATTATCATAACCCAACCATGAAAAAATAATATCTGTCTTGTCATTTGTCTGTGCTTCATTTTTATAAAATTAGTTTTATAAAAACTAATTACTTGCCATGTTCAGACTGTTCCAGTGTACATTCTATAGCTATTTTGAATAGAATTTCTATTTATTCCTGCTGGGCTTTGTTAGTAATATTTTTATTTTTTTGCATATGAAATCATGAAAAACACATGTCCATATTTGCCACATTGCAAAAAAAAGGCAAGAAAAATAAGAAAGTGGAATCTGTATTCAAGACTTCATCAGCTCTCTCTGGAGGTGGATAGCATTTTTCATTATAAGTCCTTCGGAACTGTCTTGGATCATTGCATTGATCAAAATAGCTAAGTCCTTCACAGTTTATCATCATATAATGTTTTTGTTACTGTGTACAATGTTCTCCTGGTTCTGCTCAGTTCACTATACATGAATTCATATAAGTCTTCCCAGTTTTTTTTCTGAAGCCATTCTGCTCATCATTTATTATAACCCAATAGTATCCCATTACAACTGCATACCACAACTTGTTCAGCCATTCCCCAATTGATTGGCATTGCCTCAATTTCTAATTCTTTGCCACCACAAAAAGAGCTGCTATAAATATTTTTGTACATATGAGTCATTATCCTTTTTCTTTGATTTATTTGGTATACAGACCTAGTAGTGGTATTTCTGGGTCAAATGGTAAGCACAGTTTTATAGTTCTTTGGGAATAGTTCCATATTGTTCTCCAGAATGGTTGGACCAGTTCACAACTCCATGTTGTTAATATTTTTCAAAGGTTGGTATTTACGTACTGTGTTATCCACTATTTTGTTGGAGATGTTACTTTTTCTATTAGTTTTTTAGTTGAATTCTAGAGTTCTGCAAGTAAAATGTCATGTCATCTTTAAAAAGTGATAATTTTGTTCTTCTTTGCCTATGTTTATTTCCTCAATTTCTTCTTACCGCATTACTGCTATAGCTCACATAACTAGAACCATATCAAATAAAAGTGGCAATAATGGACATCATTAATTTACAACATGACCTTAAAAGGACTCTAACATTTCACCATTTTGCTTTAAAATAAATACTATTTATCATATTAAGAAATGCTTACTTTATTCTTATGCTTTCTAGTGTTATTAATATAAAGGAATGTCATATTTTGCCAAAAGTTTCTCTCTATATATTAATGTAATCTTTTAATTTTATTGGTTTTGTTATTAATATGGTCTGTGATGTTTATAGATTTTTTTAATAGTAAAGCAATACTACACTGCTATTAAATGCAACCTGGTTATACTACAATGTTGATACAGACTCAACTGCTAATAATTTATCCAATAGTGTTTCAATGACATTTATTTGAATCATTCAGATTTATGTGAGATTCTTTGCTTATTTCTCCCTAATTTAAGTATTTGGACCCTATTTCTCTCATAGGAAATTGACAAGATCTTAACTTCTTATTTTTTAAAATAATTTATGAAATGTTAGAGTTCCTTAAACATTTGATTAAATTCACTTATAAATTTATCAAGTATTGTTTCTATTCATTGTTTTTTGTTTTTTACTTTTTAAAAAAAATTATTTATTTTTAGTTTTTCAACATTCACTTTTATAAGATTTTGAATTTTCAATTTTTCCCTCTCCCTCCTCTTCCCCCTCCCCAAGATGGCATGCAATCTGATATAGGCTATACTTGTACAATTATGTTAAACATATTTCCACATTAATCGTGTTGTGAAAGAAGAATCAGAACCAAAGGAAAAAACTACAAGAAAGGGAAAACAAGAGAAAGAGTGAGAGAGAGAAAGAGACAGAGAGAGAGAGAGAGAGAGAGAGAGAGAGAGAGAGAGAGAGAGAGAGAGAGAGAAAATAGTATGCTTCGATCTGCTATTTATTGTTCAGACACTTTTTGTTAAGGTCTCAGAACTTTTGTTCTGTCCCCTAATTCTGGCACCCAGCCACTGAATTGGCCTTACCTCCTACGGGGGCTCCCAGCAAACAAAAAAAAAGCACAAAGTTAAACCCTATCTCAATGTGCAGTAATTTTTTAGGGGAATGGAGAAGAAGAAAAGGCTGACTCTGTCTCTTGCTTCTGTTCTGACAAGGCAAACTCAGTCTTTACATGTTCTTTTGGAGCTCTTGCTGGCTTGCATCCCTCTGTTCAAAGCACTGGCTGGTTTCAGGCCCATTTATGGAAGTTTCTATTGGCTTTGCAGAGGCAGCTCCTCTCTCTGCTTCCAACAGTTTCAGACTTACTGGGATTTGTGTTGGCTTCTTGGTCTGATTCATCTCTATACCTTTAAGAGCTTCTTACCTAAGCTTATGTGGGATTCCCTAATGTTACCCTTCAACCAGCCTCTGCCAGCTTTTGACCAGCTTTTAGGGGTAGTTCTGGTTTGGGTAAAGAGCTTAATTCTCTTTCTTTTCCAATTTTTTTTTTTATCATCAGTCTTTCTGAGGACCTTTCCAGATATTTGGTTGTGTTTATGCGGGAAAACCAGGGTCCCCCCTAACTTCTCACATCATTATCATAAATAGAAGTTCAATAGTGTCCATTTGGAAATATAATATCTCTCTTTTAAACTGTGTAAAGTTGCATGTTTTGTAATAACATATCAAATATCACAGTATCCTAGTTAGAACTAGAAGGGACCTTCGGGGTTATCTAGTCCAGCCTGCTCATCTTACAGGCACATTGAGGGCCAGAGAAATGAATTCTCTCCCAAGTCACAAGGTATAAGTGGTGGAACTGAGATTTACACCTTGTCCTTTGACTCCACATTCAGAGCTCTTCTTACTATGCCAAACTACATCTTAGTTCTTTAATAAACAAGAAATTTAACTTTGCCATTAAAATTGGTAGCACTTTTAGTCTTTCTCTCATACCTTACTTTTTTCAAAAAGTCAAAATCTGTTCAAGGTTAGTTAAGTTCAAGTACTTCAGATAAACTGAGTATTGATGTAATAATAAAGTACTTTGAAAACATGATATAAGGTATATTATCAGGTGTCCTAGGGACAGCATGTGGTAAAAAGAGAATGAAGTACTCATAAGGAGAGAAGTTTCAGTCACAATAACAAATAGCATGGTATGGGGGAAAAGGTTTTTGTTTTTTGGTTTTTTTCACCCGCAAAATGGTTTTATTTTATATATATCTCATAGGATGGTTGCAGGAATAAAAACAAATGAAGTATTTTGAAACCATAAAGTAGATTGATTAGTTTTATTTGAAAAGTAAAAGACAAGAATGTTGAGTAGGAAGTGAGAATATAAAAAATTTAAAACACATTATTACATTTCTCTCCTCTCCCTAGACTAAATGGTGATCTCACTTTTGAAAAAAAAAATGTCTAATATAATGGCATGGAAGCCTCAGCAATAAGGGCTAAACAAATTTAGAATATAGTACATAAATTGCATCATTTATCACCGATTAATTTTTATAGCTTAGCCACAAGACTTGGTGCTTATTAAGCACATTTGTAATTTATTGTTTTTTTAAAAGAACACATAATGGAGGCAACTAGGTGGCAGAGTGGATAGAGCACCGGCCCTGAAGTCAGGAGGACCTGAGTTGGAATCTGGCCTCAGACCAAACATTTGACACTTACTAGGTGTGTGACCTTGGGCAAGTCACTTAACCCCAATTGCCTAAAAAAAAAAAATTAAATTAAAAAATAAATAAAAATAAAAGAGCATATAATTTTAAAATGTAACATGAAACTGACTGTTTCAATGACAGACATATACTGTTCATTATATATTAAAGATCTGTGATTTTGCCAGTGTGGGAACTCTCTCTTTCAGTACATATTGTAGCACATCTATAATTTAGCAGATATCTTAGCCTGTGCTCACAGGCCCAACAAGTATCAAAGGCGAAACTCGAATCCAGTTACTCCAACTCCAAGACTATATAACCACTCTGCCATGGCATTTCCCCTCATAGACACAGATACTACTGATCGAAAAATAAGTCTTAGATCCAGTTAATATTTGTTATTTTTTTAGATCATATTACATGTTAATTAATATTGCAGAAGGAAATAACCAGCTATGCCAAATTCTAACCCCATTCAATAAAACTTACTTGATAGTTTTTTTGTAGTTTACTTTGAAGGACCTGGCACATTTTAATCATTTGCTTCAGTTCAGACCGTGCAACTGGAACTTCACAAGTAGGACTACTACAGTCAAGAAAAGATCTGTTTTATAAAATGTAAAGGAATGTCACATTAATAGTGTGTTATACCCACTTAAGAGGTGTGTTAATAAACACAAAATAACATTTAATTAGACACTACAAACATTTTATTAAGTGCCATGGGTCATGTGAGCTACCATCTTAGACTTTGCAGCAGCACAGAATTTGACAGTTAGAAGGGACATGACAATCATCTCTGCCAACTCCCTTTTTTACAGATGGCAGATGGTACCTAGGGAAGTTATGGGACTTCCTTGTACACAGTCATACAGCTGAGCCATAGAGGAAAACGTGTTATTAAAACCCAGGTCTCTTTCTCCCACTTTGGTGCTTTTTATATTACATGAAGACCAAGCTTTTAGTTATTTCCTTAGTATGCTGAAGAACTGGACTTGTAATTTTCATTGGCATAAGGAACTCTCAGATGAGGAATCTCCTTTTACTTATGCAAGCTGGAGGCAACTTCTCTATAACTATAGTATATGACAGCTGCCTGAAATTTTATTTGCCTGGCTATAAATACTAGCAAAAAACTGAAAACTAAGGAGGTAACCATATCTTGGTGAATGGCTGGACAAAAGATGATATATAAATGCAATGATGCCATAAGAAATAAAGTGGACGGGACAGCTAGGTGGTACAGTGGATATAGCACCGGCCCTGGAATCAGGAGGACCTGAGTTCAAATTCGGCCTCAGACACACATTAACACTTACTAGCTGTGTGACCCTGGGCATGTCACTTAATCCCATTGCCTAGCCAAAAAAAAAAAAATGAAGTAGACAATTTCAGAGGAAACTAGGAAGACCTCTATGAATTGATGCAGAGAGAGGTGAGCAGAACTACAACTTACACAATGACAACGTTATAAAGAAAAACTTTGGAACACCTTAGAACTCTGCTCAATGCAATAATATACCACAATTCTAGGAGACCAAGTATAAAGCATGCTACTAATCTCTTGACAAAAAGGTGATAAATTTAAAGTGTAAAATGAGACAAACAGTTTTTGGTGCAGGAATTTGTTTTGCTGAATTATGTATATTTGTTATGAGGGTTTTCTTTTTCTCTTTTTGTTCAATTGAGGGGAGGACAGTAAGAAAGCAAATCAATGCTTGTAAAAATAAAAATGTTTTTGTTTTATGAAAGATACAGTGTTTTTTAATTATCATCATCATCACCATTTAGTGCTCTTGTAATTTGGTGTGCACTTCTATCAAACTTTTGAGTTCCAACCTGAAGATTTTCTTTTGGGCTCCTTTGTTTATTCCCTCATAACTCAACATTCCCAGCACAAATGTACAATTCTCTAAGATCTTTTCCAGATCTTTTCCAGATCTATGATTCTAGTCAACATCAGAGCTAACGAGATCCTGACTGAACACTGAAGTCACTAAAATAGCTTACATATGCCAGAACAATGAAATAGGCAACAAAAGCAACACTATAACATTATCGGACAGGTAAGATGGGAAAACACAGCTTTTCAAGGTTGTCATTTCTTAATCCACAATTTATATTAATAATGGAAAAAGGCACTCCCCAGTAAAACTCTTTGTGACAAATACAAATTTATAATGTTTGTAAATAGATGTCTTTAAAAAAATAACCACAATCTTTGTATGGTACTTTCTTGATACCATTCTCTCACCCAGTCTCATTCACTAGATTATAACCTGCATGAGGGCAGGGATTGTGTATTCCTTTTGTATTCAGCACAATGGGAAATGCATGCTAATATAAGCAGTTGTTAAACTGTCTAATGGATGGAATTAACTGCACTAAGCTTTATTCAAGTTCACTTTCTCCAAGTAGTTTCTTTTTTTTTTTCTAAAAGAATGAGTGGAGGGGCAGCTAGGTGGCCCAGTGTTTAGAGCACTGGCCCTGAAGTCAGGAGGACCTGAGTTCAAATCCGGCCTCAGACCCAACACTTGACACTTACTAGCTGTGTGACCTTGGGCAAGTTGCTTAACCCCAATTGCCTAAAAGCCAAAAAAAAAAAAAAAGAATGAGTGGGGAGCAGCTAGATGGAATAGTGGATCGAGCTCCGGCCCTGAAGTCAGGAGGACCTGAGTTCAAATACAGCTTCAGACACTTAACACTTACTAGTTGTGTGACCCTGGACAAGTCACTTAACCCCAAATGCCTCATTGGGAAAAACAAAATAAGCAAATTTATTTACAGGTCAAATAAACCAAATAAGGTTCACAACCTAGCTCAAGCAAATTAACAATTATCTATGTGCATCTCTACCCCAGAGGTCTTATAGGGTCAGTTACTTACAGTCAAGCTTTGCTTAGCACTCTTATCCAAGTCTAAGCTGCCCTCAGTTATCTGAAAATGGAATAAGCTGATTCATGATACACATGACATCTGATCAATGGCCACTGGGGTACTGGGTGATGATCTACCATAAACGTCCTGCAGGCACCTCAACTTTATATTCAAATGGATGTGTGATCTCATCTATAAAAGTAATCCCTGCAATGAGGCAATTCATAGCTTCTCTGCACTTGCTCATCCAGAGATTAATACTCACATTCTTCCATAATTTCACCATAGAGGGTCAGTAAGTGCTGGGGTAGCTACTTATGTTTGCCTGACAGCACAAAGATACCCCATGGCCATAGTCTTCACTTATTGCTATACCCTCATCTCACTATCCCAGTCTCTTTCTTGTTTTAATGACATCCTTAACAATGTTTCTCCTTCATAAGCACTCATATGTGATGTGCTACAGTTTGTCAATGCCCACCACGTACCTCTCCATTGCCATTTGGGCAATTCTCAATTTCAGTTCTTTAGAGAATGTACTGTCCTATAAACTTTCAACCACACAAGAGATGCAATGAATACAGGGTTCCAGGAAGTTGACAAATATACCAACATATCATTTTGCCTCTATTCCTTACCTGAGTTTTTCAGAGAGAGGATTCAAAGCTTCATTCAACTCTAGCAGAAGAGCAGCCCAGGAACTTAATCCCTCTGTAAGCAGTACTATCTATTGAAAAATGATTTACAAAGTTGTTATAAAATGCCATAGTAAAACGGTATCTATTTTATTCAGTATTATATTTCAAGAAGTTTTCACAGTCTCACTTTCTGCTTACATGTATCTTTCATTCAGGAAGGACATTCATTTGCAGTTTACTTTATACAATATTATCTTAGATTGCCTTAATTTATACATAATTAATATTCAGAAAATTTTCCTAATTTATATTCCTTATCAGATTTGAATTTATAATTCCTAAAATCAGAAGTACAATATAATTTAATGGGACAACTTTTCTGTGCTGCTCCTAAAAGTCTTTATTAAACTTATGTAGTTATATACTTCATATTAGGCTTGGAGTCTAGAACACAGGGGTTTAAATTTCTCCTCTGATGAGGTTAACCAGGAACAAGTCATTCAAATTCTCTAAGCCTCAGTTTTCTCATATGTAAAATAGGGATAAGGCACTAAGAGCAGCTAACTTGGGATTGCGAGGAGAATCAAATAAGATTTTATGTATATATGCATATATATGTATGTATATATACATATATATGTATATGTGTGTGTGCGTGCATATATATGTATATATATGTATATATATATATATATGTAAAACACTTTAGAAAGGCCAGTTATCATCATCACAATCACCATCATCTATGAATTAGTTACATAGTGCTTTAAAGGGGATTTTTCTGTGTTTTTGTACCACACCTAGGATTTTATTGGTATTCTGAATTCCCAGTAAGGAAACTCTATGATCAAAGATTGGAATTTGATATGCAATGTACACTCTTAAAAGAGTTGTTTGGAGACCTCAAAGGTTCATTGACTTGCCCAGGGTCACACAGTTAGTGAGTTCACTAAGGTTTTTTGCCTAATGGATAGACTATCTTTTGCTTCTCCCATTAGATTATAAGCTCTTTGAGGTCAGGAACTATCTTTTTCTTATTTATACCTCAGCACAGAGACTAGTACACAGTAGGCACTTAATAAACATTTATTTTATCGTAAAATAAGATACCGAATCAGGAATAAATAAATAAGGAGCCAAAGAAATGTTTGCTTTGGTGAGCAAATATTTCTTGATTGAGGAAAACATGACACTAGTGAGTAGTTATCCCTCTAAATTCAATAACTTAACAAGCATCTATTTAGCATACAATATGCAAAAAGCACTTGGCATCATTGATAGAAGACAAGTCTTGGAGTCAGAGAGATCTTGGTTTAAGCCCTGCCTTTGAAACATACTCACTGGGAGCTACTCTCTGAAGCTACTACAATGTTTACATTATTATAACATAGTCTATAAGCAATACAATGATCAAAGGCAGTTCCAAAAGACTCATGACGGAAAATGCTATCCATATCCAGAGAAAGAACTATGGGATTCTAAATGTAGATTGAAGCATAGTATTTTCTCTTTTTTTTCCTTTCACACGTTTTTCCCTTTTGTTCTGATTCTTCCTTCACGTGGAAATATGTGGAAATATGTCTAACAGGATTGTACATATATAGCCTATATCAGATTGCATGCCATCTTGAGTAGGGGGCAAGGGAGGAAGGGAGAAAAAAAAATTTAACTCAAAATCTTTTAAAAGTGAATGTTGGGGGCAGCTAGGTGGCGCAGTGGATAGAGCACCAGCCCTGAAGTCAGGAGGACCTGAGTTCAAATCTGGCCTCAGATACATAACATTCACTAGCTGTGTGACTCTGGGCAAGTCACTTAACCCCAATTGCCTCACACAAAAAAATAAGTGAATGTCGAAAACTATCTTTACATGTAACTGGAAAAAAATAAAATACTATTATTAAGTGGAAAAAATATAGTCTGTAGAAAACCATGGGGAGGGGTGACTCCTGAATTGGGAAGAGGGGGCAAGGAGAAGGGGACCTGAATTAGGTGCCATAAGCCTAGTTCAGGAGAAAGGCTAGATCAGAGAACTTCTGTGAGCAGAGTCCAAGGAATGATGTAATTGAGAAGAGTGTTGACTTGAAGCTAGTAGATCTAAAAACTCATTCATAAAAGTGCTCTATTTTCTCTAGGCCTAGAGCTAAGAATAAAGTGAATTCACCGGAAAAGACAATCACCCCTCGAGTTGGGGTTAAAAGAAAGATGATCTGCTAGAAGAAAGGCAAGACAGATAATATCTGGAAGAAGCTAAAGATTAAATCAATACCAAGCTACTCAAGTAATCTGGGATTGTATCTACACTTTAGATATAATGAATTTATAGTTTATACTACAAGATTCCCTTGTACTATATAGGAACAATTATCTATGCATTTGAATTTATACTACTACTACTTTACTGAAAGAGAAGGGAAGGTAGCACCACAGAAGAAGGGGAAAAACAGACCATTAACCACAGGAATATGTTATTTGGAAGATAAATTTTCCCTGAGTGCACTGTACTAATAGGAGAAAGTTATCTGAGCAACTGCCACCCAGTTAATGAGCTGACTCCATTAGGCCAAAGGATTTAAAGCTGGAAGAAAACTTATAAAGACCAAATCCCTTTTTCACATAAGAGTAATTTGAGGCTTACAGATTTTTAGTGGCTTGCCCAAGGCCACACATTCAGTAGGCAGAAGAGCTAGAATCTCAACTTTAAATCCAATGCCCTTTCCACAGTGCCAAGCTGTCTTTTACACTAGGGACCCTTCAACAGCAACAAAAGAATTCTGAAAAAAGAGTGATTGTTTTCTTATCCCAAGAATAAAGTTTCACTTTTGTAAAAAAAAAATATATATATATGTGTGTGTGTGTGTGTGTGTGTGTGTGTGTGTATACATACATCACTTAAATAGTTGACATTTTTTACATTTTCTTTCTCTTTCACCCTCCATCCCCATTTTATCCTATCCCATTCTATAACTTACATATTCAGGAAAGCAAATGGAATCTAGAACTGAATCCTCAACTTTCCCAGCCAAAGATCATATTAGTTAGTTTTCCTTTAAGTGTAGATAGAACTAATCAAAAAACTTAGCATTTATATCTTGATCTGAGGTTTGCAAAGTGTTTATCATGTTTTCTCTTATTTGATCCTCACAACCTGGGAAGCAGGTACAATTATCATCCGCATTTTACAAAGGAGGAAACTGAAGCTGAAAGAGGTGGAGTATCACATAGTTAATAAGTGTCTGAGGAGGCAGGATTCAGACTCTGGTCTTTCTGAGTTTAAATCCAGCACTGTTCTTCATGCAGTCTAATATTGATGGCTAGGGCCCAAGACTGAAAATAGCAACCTAGGTACATGTCTTAGGGAACTGTCTTCAGGCGAAAAAAATATTTCAGTGAATAAATATATATAAGGTGCCATCTTGGAGATCTACCTAAATTACTTTAGGGAAGGGATAGTTAATAATAATGGAAGTAATAATAGTAATGAGACTAAATTTTATAAGTACTTTCCAAATATTATCTCATCTTATCCTCACAAAAACCTTGGGAGGTAAGTGCTATCATTATCTCTGTTTTATAGTTTAGGACACAGAGACAGACATTTACCACATAATGCTTTGGAAACTGAGAAGTCCTTTGTGAGGAGTGGAGAGCTATCGAAGGGTTCAGTTCTTTTTTTGTTTTGTTTTGTTTTTACAGTATGATAGGAAGGAGAGAGGGAGACCCCTTTTAGCAACACAGAGAGAGATCCTCCTTTGCTGAGCTAGCAGCCAGTTTGGGGAATTCCATGCTCCACTATCCCGCAATGATGTACAGACATGAGCCAAACCCTCCCTTGAGCAACAGAGGAAGCTGATTAGAAGAGACCACAACTGGGAGATGTGTGGCTAGCAGGGAAGAAGGAAGCTTTTGGGTGTTTAGCCTATGATGACCAGCACACACTAGACTGCTCAGCAAATGCCAAACGGGACTTCAAACTGAAGCGCCTATTAATGAGTTATCTACAGTGAGTGACTGAGAAATCTCCCCTAATCTTGATGGACTGAGGAACTGAGCGATTTATGAGGAAGTACTGACTTATTTTCCCTTCCCAAAAGGAAGCCAAAAGAGAGTAGAACAGAGATCTGACTCAAAACTTTCTATCCCTGGGAGACTAGGGAGGAGAAGAGATGGCTTGCTTAGAATAGGGACATTTTAGGAATGCTTGCGGCTGGTGTATTTCCTTAATATCTCCATATTTTCACTAAACTTTTTATTATAGTTACAGCATAAGGTGTAATTGATTTGTAAACAATTTGCAGGATCTGAAGGGAAGTTAGGATTTTCCAGTGGTATGACAACAAATAAGCCAAAGTATAGCCTGAAAATAATAGGGACTGCACTACCTATTGCATTTTGGGGGTAGTGGAGTCTGTTACATATTTAATGAGTACCTATAATGTGCAAGACTTTGTGTTATATTCCAGAGAAAAGACAAAAGTTTAAATAAGATACAGTCCCTGCCCACATGGAACATATAGTCTAGCGGGGAATGAGATAATACTAAATTCTCCAAAGTTTCTGGTATTGAGACTCTCCATACTTAGGTAGATTCTTAGACAACAAATACAATCTATATTTAGGCCTATATTTAAAGCCTTTCCACCTTAGTATGATCTACTATAGCATGCCCTCCATGGGGCATAGACTTTGAGAATCAAAAATTGCCTCCTCCATGCTGCACAGAGGCATCAGTGTAGGACCACTGAGGAAGATATGAATACATGCAACATACAGAAACCTCATCAAAGAAACGCAAGGATAGGCATCACACTAAACTACTAAGGTTTCTCTGAGTCTCACTTTACAGAAAACAATAATTTAGTTATATACCGAAAAAGACCTTCAAAGTGCTAAAAATGTATTATAGGCATGGGAAACTTTGAGTTAAGTAATACATGAGTTAGAAAATCATTTCTGAAAGGCTACAATTACAACAGGAGGCAACAGGGAGCCATTACAAGTTCTCAGCCAAGGGAGTAACATTAAATGCAGAGGTTAGAGATAAGTGTATCAACAGCATGCAGATGTAAAAGATACATGGTGTAAAATGGGGGTCTATCCCTAATTTCTGCCAGAGAGCTTTGCAATTTTTTTCAGTAATTCTCCTCGAATAAGGAGTTTCTCTCTGGGTAATTTACGTTTTTGGTTTTATCAAAATTTGGATTTTTGTGTTCTAGTTTCTCATTTCTTCCTTGTCTATCTATTCCATTCCAAACTTTTCTATTTTTAACCAATACCAAAGAGTTTTGATGATTACTACAAAGCAACAATTCCAAGTTTTGCTTAGTCACCTTAACTGAAGGCATCAATAATGTAACAATGTAGTTTTAATAAACATTTAAAGGGTGTTAACATTTTCATAAGTTTTGAATATTTCTTTATATAGGCATAGTAGCTAGATATTCACAGATAAATGAAAAAGTGCATTTTTTACCTATGACTTATAAAATGTCATACATACATGTCTGTCTACTCATACGTTCCCAAAGTGGGTAATACCACCCCCTGGGTGGCATTGGAACAATCCAGTGGGGCAGTAGCAACCTCAGGTGCATTGGGAGGGGGGTTCTGTTGCATAACAGAGTTAAAGTCATAGTGATTACATTATTTTCCAAATAAACATACAAAATGCAAGTTATAACCAATCAGTGGGCAAGCCCACTGACAGGTCTTAACAAGTAAGTGTTGGCAGGCACATATTTTGTCAGGAAGTCCAGCATGCATCAAGAATATGTGCTTGTTTACAATAATTTGTTTACAATATGATACTATATGGTTATATGATACAATATTATATCATCAAAATTTCAATGCAGAAAAAAACCCACAAATTCACAACAAATTATTAAATTTAAGATGCATCATTTTTTTTTTAAATGTTTTATATTTTTTTGAAATAACACAAATTTCCAAAAAGAAAAACTAAGGGGTTAAAGCAAGTAGATTGCAGGGGCAGGGGAGCAGCTGGGCACTGAGTAATTATTTTGTTAAAGGTGGCAGTAGGTCAAATAAGTTTGAGAACCTCTGATCTAGATGCTAACTATCTAGTTATTTATAATGAGATTTTCTAGGTAATTAAAATACTACCTGCATAAATTATCAGTCAATAGAGTAGTCTGTCATGGATCATCAACTAACCTTAATAAAATCACTGTAGGGGAGGGGGGAAAGAAGGGAGGGGGAGAAAATTTAAAACTCAAAATCTTATGGAAGTTAATGTTGAAAACTAAAAATTAATTAATTAATTTTTTTAAAAAGGAACAAATAAAATCACTGTAAAATAATTATTATTACTAGCAATATTTTTAGAGTTCCATATTTCATATATTAAGAGCTTTACAGGAAAATAGAAGCCATTTTCTTTATATTATAAATTTATTACTCATTTCTCTTACTTGATTACCTGCCTCTGTAGCTGCATGACTTGAGCTTTCAAAAGATTGACATGCCTTTCATCAAAACATTCATTCTTCCCTTCTTCTATAAGCCACTCGTATTGATTTCTAAAAAATTAAAACTTTATTTGAAATGTCACATCACCAAAATGTTATTAACATAGCAGTCCACAAATGAAGATAAAAGGGATTAGAAAATGTATAGCCCTTCTTATGACAAATTTAAGACAAATGCATGTGCATTTGCATAAGTTTACACACATTTACAAACCGACTACATTCAAAGGGGAAGGGGACATAGGAGCAGGAGGCATGGCCCTTAGGAGAAGGAAACAACAATGAGATACAAAGGTAGAAGACAAAGCAGACAGAACCGCACAACATACACTCAAAATGCAGAATGATGCAATAGAAAAAACACTGAAATTGGAGTCAGAGGACCTGGGTTCAAATCTGGCCTGCTCTGCCATTGATATATATGACCTTAGGCAAGTCGTTTAATTTCTCTGAGCCTCAGTTTCCTCACTTGTAAAAATGAGTGAAATGATCTTTAGATGATCTTCAAACTCCTTTCCAACCGTAAATCTGACTCCCTAGCTACAGATATTAAAGAAAAGCAGACACAAAGAAGACTGCTAGTTTAATGTTTTGAGAGGATCAGTTGTAATATTCTGCATATTGTAAAGAAAGTACAAAAATAAAAAGGGGAAAAAACCCAGTGAGGTTTGTAGACATGGTTGAGCAGCAAGGATTCCATAGCAGATGTTCTAGACTATATCCTTTGTGTGTGATATTTTGTATGTTCTCTAGTGATACTCCTGTCTTATAATTTGGTATATGTGTATACACACACATACACGCACACACATATATTTTATATGTATATATATATATACATATATATATATATGCATGAGATGTATATGTGTATATGTATATACATACATACATACACATATAGTATCCAAGGAAGGGATATACTCTTGCTACATTCTGCCCTGGCCAAACCACAACCAGAGTATTTCATTCATCTTGGGGAGCCACTTTTAGAAGAACCAAGTAAAATTGGAATGCATTCAGAGGAGGACAACCATGATGATGAGGAAACATAAAACTAGGCCATACAAGCATTAGTTGAACAAACCAGAGATATTCATTTTGGAGTTAACGTATGATATACAATGGTACATTTATATTTAGGTGTGGCTATCTGCTAAGAAAATTTAAGTAATATAGTAATATTGCTGAAAACTCTTCTCATATGCTTTTTCTGGGCAGCAGGGAAAATAGGGTTAGTGTTCGGTAATTGATTAGTATAAACTAGACACAACAAAGTTAATATATGAATCAACACTGATTACAAATTAAAGAAAACATTTTCCAGCTTCATTTAAATATTACAATAATGTATTAAATGAGAATCTAATAAATCTAAATAAATTTAAAACATCCAAGTATGTTTTACATGAATTGTTCCTAAGTTATGATATATGTAGAAACATATTTCTATCTTCCAAAAATTTATTCAGGCCCATTTACACAATTACAATTACAAATCAACTTAAGAGAAAGTTTCTCTGAAAGAGAGCGATATAAAAAAGAGTGATGATTTAAAAAACACCCAAACACTATTAGGGATCTTGTTTTCTGGTGCCTAATCATCCACTTACCAGCTATGTGACCATGAACAGATCAGTTCTGTTCTCTTCACCTCTTTTCCCTCATTTATAAAACAAGGGAATTAAAGTAATGGAGCTCTATGTTACCTTTCAGGTTTCATCTTGGTTACTATGATTTTCTGTTTCTTATAGAGCCATTTAAATGGCAAGAGGCTATAAAGCTTTGGAGAAGATACCTTCTTTCCACTCAGAAAACTAGACTATGCTTCTTTTCTTTACCAAATAAATACAAGAACATCAAATAACAGAAATAAGTTTTTGGAGGGAAAGGGGTCTGGATCTAGTAAACATTACTCTTTCATTCTGAGAGGAAGGAACAAGAAAACAAGCTAGAATGATTTTGTTACATCCCTATAGTCTTCATCTGACCTCTGTAAAGGTAAGTATTTTTGAAGTTATGGAAATTTCTATTTACACCATATTGGCTGTTCCTAGTTGGTTACAATATTATGCCCCCTAATATAATATATTATTAGTGCACCATGCACAAGGTATTATTATTAATAATTTAAGTCACTTTCAAAGTTGCTAAGCAGCAATCCTGACCAACAGCCATGTGAGTTGCTAACTATCAACCTGGTTGGAGCAGAAGACTAGGAAGTAAAGTAAAGAAAGGGAAGCTCTGACCACCAATGGGTTGCATGGGAAAATTGGGAAAAAGAGAGAGATTCCTGATAGTTACTACTAGCTACAGTTTTAATTTACTGAAAGAAACATTTACAACCATTAAGGCTACTGTTATACCTTCTTGTCCTATCCTGTAAACTTCCTACTTGAAGACATTGGAGAGTCTCTTAATCTAGTTTTTCTCCTTTTAATAGGGTAGAATCTGGAGCGCAAGAGTCAGCTGAGAATGGGCTGGTTCCAGGGCTCCTGCAGAAATGCTTCCCAACCTTTAAAATATAAAACAAGTCCCCAGTAGCAAAAGGAAAAAAATTAAGTTCTTATGGTAAAATGTCATATTTCTATCAATAAGAGAATCATAAAATAGCATTTAAATAGGTAGCATGTAGATAGAGCACAAGAGTCAGAAAGACCTGAGTTCAAATCCTGCCTCCAATACTTACTAGCTGTGTGACCTAGGGCAAGTCACTTAACCTCTCCCTCAGTTTCCTCAACTGTAAAATGGGGATAATACTACCTACTTCACAGGGTTGTTGTGAGAACCAAATGAAATATTTGTAAAGCACTTAGCACAGTGCCTGACACAGAGTAGGCACTAAATAAATAAATAAATGCTAGCTATTATTGTTATTGGGTAGCTACCTGGTGCAGTGTAACTGGGCCTGGAATCAGGAAAACTCATCTTCTTGAGCTCAAATCTAGCCTCAGACACTTACTGTCTGTGTGACCCTGGGCAAGTCACTTAAACCCTATTTTCCTCAGTTTCCTCATCTGTAAAATGAGCTGAAGAAGGAAATTGAAAACTACTCCAGTATGTTTGCCAAGAAAACTCCAAATGAGGTCATGAAGAGTTGGGCAGGACTCAACAACAACCCTGGAAAACAGATTTTAAGTTCTCCCTGAAAAGAAAGCTGCACCTCTGAGGACGATGTAACTGCTCGCCCTTGAAGGAATGATGAAGTGTATCCATAGGTACTGATGCAGTGAGGATCAGAAGAAGAAATGAGGTGAGATGACAGTTCCTGACTGCCTGCTGAGAGCCACAGAAAGCATCTACACATCAATTTGATAACAACAATAGAGGTATCAGATCGGCCTTCCCCAGGGAACATAAAGATTTGTTAAACAAAATCTCACACTGGAGATTTATGTGGGGACAAAGAATGCTTACTACCAGAAGGCACCTGAGAAGCATTGCAAAGGACTATAATGTTTAAGCAAGAAAACTGAAGGCCTTAAGAATATAGGCACATTTCTTCACTGTTGTCAATCAAAAGCAGTTTGTCCTCCTTCAACACCAGAATGAGATACATCCTCAGGAGCCCCGTGGTAGCCAGCCTCTGATTCAATAGCAACTTCCTACTAAGGTATAGAAAAGAAAGGAGGAAAGTAGTCATCTCCCTACAGAGATCACAAATGAAAGTGATCCACTTGTTTTTTTATGCTCCGGAAATAAACCATAATTGCAGATACAGTTATTTATACCTGGAAAAACCTGCAAGGCCACAAAAAGAAACATAAGAAAGGAGCTCTGTAACTTCTTTAACAAAGATGCTAGGATTTGTTTTCCAATGGCTGCTAAATAGCAATGCTAAATTCACATGTCTAAGGTCAATCAATGAATTAACAAGCATTTATATGAGATATCTACTTGGCACCAGGCACTGTGCTAAGTACTAGGGATAAAAATGCAAAAGGAAGGGCAACTAGGTGGCGCAGGGAATAAAGCACTGGCCTTAGAGTCAGGAGGACCTGAGTTCAAATGTGACCTCAGATACATAACACTCACTAGCTGTGTGACTCTGGGCAAGTCACCTAACCCAATTGCCTCATCAAAAAAATAAATAAATAAATGAAAGAAATATCTTTTTTAAAAAATGCAAAAGGAACAGGACTGTCCCTGCCCTCAATAACCTTATATTCTATAGAGGAGAAACAATATGTACAGAGAATAGAAACAAAAGATACACTAAATAAAAACAAAAGATATACTAAATAATTTCCTTGAAATGGGTACAAACACACTTGGGCATCAGGACAGGCTTCCTAAAGGGAGTCTGAGAAGAGAGCTGAGGGAAGCTAGGAATTCTAAGGGACAGAGGAAAGGAAGGAGGGCACAGAAGAAACAGGAGAAGGAATATTATGTAAAAGGAACCACAAGCAGGCCAGTTTAGTAGAAAAATGGAGAATGGAAAGGAGAGAACAGTCACATGCAATGCACCTTGAGAGATGGATGGGCTAGAGCCATCCTGTGAAGGGCTTTAAAAGTCAAACAGAGAGTTAGTATTTTATACTAGAGGAAAGAAGAAGCCATTGGGATTTCTCAAGCATGAAAGTGTCATAAATCAGAGACCTGTGCTTGAGGAATAGCAATTTGCCAGATGTTAAGGACAGATTGGAGAGGGGAGAGGCTGGAAAGGGGAAAGCTAAAAATGGGAAAGACCAACCAGGAAGCTAGAGTAGCCACACGAGAGGAGAGAAGAGAATGGATGTGAACAAAGATATGGCAATTAATCGTGGGGGGGGAAGGGGCTGAAAAGTGTTGAGGACAATTATAATGTAAGGTGAGTAAAAGCAAAGTAGTGCTCTCAAAAGAAAGAGGGAAGTTAAGAAAAGAAAAGCCCTGGGAGGGGGAGGGAATGATGAGTTCTATTTCAGACATGTTGAGTTGGAAGTGCCTATGTGCCTCTAGGACAACCATTGCCCATAAAAGAAATGGATAATGAAGGACTAGAGTCCAGGAGAGAGTTTAGGGCTAGATATATATGTATTTATGAGTCATATGCATAGAGGTAACAACTGAAT